AGAAAAGAAAGAAAGAAAGGCATTACTTGGCTCTCACATTTTAGCTCTGTATTGAAAGATGTTCAAGAGGACAAAAGACCTTTTTTTAAAAGGCAGAAAAGAAATGCACAAAGTTTGCCAAATATCGATCTTCTGTTAGTAGGGAAGACTATTGATTTGAAGGTTACACAGAAGAGGTGGCTCTCACAGGAGTGTGCTTCCCTGGGTGGAAGAAGTCTCATGTCTTTCTCAGGCAGTATCTCAGGGTCCCTCCCCTAACTCCCTGCAGGCCCACCATCTTTCTAGGAAAATGGATCATTTATGGGGAATGCCATGGTTTGGACAAGAGTGTCCCCCATAGTCTCAGATATTTGAATACTTACTGCCCAGATGGTGGAGCTTTTCGGAGGGAGGTTAACAGGTCCAGCCTTGCTGAGGAAGAATGCTACTGGGGGTAGGGCTTTGAGGTGATAAAGCCTCACCTTCTAACTCATTCTCTGTCTGCGTTGTGCTTGTGTTTGACACCACGAGCCCTCAGATTCCTGCTCCTGCCACCATGCCAGCCCACCATGATAGACTCGTAGCCCTCTGGAACAGTAAGCTCAAATAAACTCTTTTCTTAGGTTTCCTTAGTCGTGGTGTTCTATCACAGCAACAGAAAAGCTTACAGGGCCATAAGAGGAAGGCCGAAGCATCGATTCAGTTCACTTAGCCTTATCCTTGGATGAGATCTCATCTGTAAGAAACTATGAGCTTTAAGGTCTTGGATGCTTACCATTTATATTTAAAATCTTATTCAGCAACTTAGAACTGTGAACTATTGGAAAGCTACTTCAACTGGCCAAACTCCTTCCCTTGCTTTACGAGAATATATAGTACACTTTCTATTCAGTTATTTTAAACAGAAAACAAAATAAATCAAGGAAAAAAAAGCCTGCCACATAAAGAGTGCTCCTAAAAGCACTTGTTCTGTTATTAATTTAAAATGCAATGACTTGACTTTCATTGTAACTAATAGTGAAAAAAATATGATGATGGAGCTGGAGAGATGGCTCAGTTAAGAACACTTGTTCTTCAAGAGGCCTTGGGTTCAGTTCCCAGCACCCACATGGTGGCTAACAACCATCTGCAATTTCAGTTCTAGGGGATCTGACTCCTTTTCTGACCTCTGGAAACACCAGGCACACATGTGGTGTGAACACATACAGGGAGGCATACATATATAAATAAATAAGTAAATATAAAATAAATTATTTGAAAAAAGGCACTTGATGTTAGAAAACTGATATAAAATGCTTTCTTCCCCCTCTTTTGCCCAGCTTTAAGAATGGAGGGAACACTCTCTTACATCAAGAATATTTTCTTTTCTTTCTCGCAAGGCGGCTAACAATGCTTGCTACCCTCATGGCTATCTTAAGAATGAGTCAAAAATAAAGCTCAGCTTTTAGAATGTGTCTGCTCAAATGTTGGCTACTCTTATCTTTTCTGGCATCCTTCACTGGCGCTATATAGATTATCAGTTCAATTCCCTGTATCTTTTAAATACTTGATTAAGGAAAATTTTATTTTACCATTTGTATTTGTGTGTGTGTGTACGCCTGTCTGTGAGCATGTGTGTGATTTCCCATGGAAGCCAGGGCAACAAGGTCCCTGGAGCAGTAGAACGGACCGTGAGCTGCCTGGTGTGGATGCTGGGAACCAAACCTGGGCCACATGGAGGAGCAGCATCCTTAACGATGAGCCGTCTCTCCAGCTCTACCTTAAAATTTCAACCTCATCCATTTTTATTTTGAAAAATTCCAAGTACCTATAGAAAAGTGCCTGGTGGTGAGTACATAGGTGCACACCTCCCCAGCACCAAGGTTTTTCCTTTACAGGCAGCAAACGATGAAGAATCATTTGATCTTTTTCACAAAAAGGAAAGGAATCCCTTAAACACGTTCATTACACCGTAGTTAGGCTGGTGTTATGAGTAAAGTTAAAAATGTAAGCCACACACACAGTAAAATAAACTTGGGAACATAAATGAGTCTGATAATGAGAAGAAGACAAGGCGTGGGGGCTTGCGGAGTACAGAACTTCCGAGTATGGACGGGTTAAAAACTGAGCCAACAGCCAGCAGGTTAGTCATATGCTCTGCTATGTCCCAGCACACCAAACCACGGGAAAACAATTAAACGAAGCAAACACGAGGAAGTGCCATGCAAATATGTAATTGACTAAAGGCAACGTTTGAAACCAAAGCAGCCACTAGAAAAGAGTGGCTTGTCACAGTTTAGTTGTAAGAAGGAAGAATTTCTTCTCTCCCGCGTGCGTTTGCAGCAAAGTATTTCCTAAATGTTGGAGTTTATAAAGTGTGACCTTTCTGGGCACTACTTATGGCATTTCCTACTGTGCATCTATGTCTGTGCCCAAATAGAGAATGCTTTCGAACAATTGTGTGTGTGTGTGTGTGGGGGGGTATTTTCATGTGGGTGGTCATCTTGCTGGAGGTAAGTCTGAGTACCAGCCAGAGGTAAGTCTGAGTACCATTTCTCAAGAGCTTCAGCTTGGAGACAGCGCCTCTCACTCGCTGGAGTGTCCCTCGCTGATTCATCTCGGCTTGGGCCTGTGGGCCTCAGGGCTCCTTACAGCTCTGCGTCCAGAGCGACACCGAACACATACCTGACTTTCTAACGGTGGGCTTGGAAGCTTGCCCTCAGGTTTTCATGCTTGCACAGTAACTTCACAGACTGCATCGTCTCCCTATCCTTCCCCATGTACTTTTTCCTTTCCTTTTCTTTCCTTTTAAAACAGATCTCCTCTCTCTCTTTTTAAACAAAACATTTTTCAATGTGTATGGGAGGGAATATTGTAGACTGTTTTCGTAGAGGTTCTGTCAAATTTGGGACCCATAGCCATCAAAGGTTCATCATTTCCTCTGAGACTTCTAAAGGGGCTATTACCATGGGCCTGCAAGTTCTGGTTTGTATTAGAGGAGACACTATCTTCTAACGTAAAACATGGAAGAGGAAGTGTCCATCATTGTAAATAAGGCTCTGAGGGAAGCCTTGTTTGGACACCATTGGAGGAAACCTGCCTCCTCCAAGCCAGGATCCATCTTCCCTCCCTTTACCCAAATATTTCAGATCCCCTTCCTGGTTCGTTTGCTGAGGCTTGTTTTTGTTTGTTTGTTTTTCTCTCCAGGAAGAGAAGTTTCCTTAAGTACTCTACCCCGTGTTCACAAATAAATACCTTTTAGACAAGAGTACAGCTACTCGGCGGGACACCGTTTAAAAGAACATTTGAGGGTTCAAGATATTCTCTGTGGGTACAGTGCAAAGTGAAAGAAATGAAGGTGCCGAACAGCCTTCACATGGAGTTTCCATTTGTGAGAAGCTGACTGCACACAAACCTAAATGTGAATAGAATTTGCATGCCTCCACCGAAGAAAGATGCCCACATCAAACATTCCCATCATCTTAAAGGATAGTCTCACCGTATAGATTTACCATGTGTTGAAACATTTTTATTGCGAACTTGGATTTTAAAAATGCCTCCTGGGCTTGGCACCTGCTCGTAGCACCACCCTTCCGGCTCAGGTGCGTTTGTAATCAAGGAGCATCTCTTGTTTCTTCCCTCTTTCTTTTTCTTTCTTTTTTCCCCCCAGCTTTTGTTTATATTAATTTCTTTTTTTTTTATTATTACTTACATTTTATTAACTCTGTAACCCAGCTATATCCCCCCTCCCACATTTCCTCCCAACCCCACCCTTCCTCCCTCCCTCATCTCCTCCCTGCCCATTTCCAAGTCCACTGCTTGGGGGAGGACCTCCTCCCCTTTTGCACCAGGTTACGTTAGCCAGCCGTGCACGTCAGCGTGGTTTCGATTAGACGTAGAAACAATAATCTTATCTCTTTGTCCCCGCTGAAGGGCTGTCCTTTAACCTGTCATTATAAAAGCATTTGGTTTTAGCCAGGAGTAAAAGATGTTACAAGGTATTTGTTGTCTTTTCCCAGGCGTGGGAGGGATGGAAAGAAAACTAGAGATGAAAACGCTCATTCCTCTCCAATAGCTACTCGAAGTCTGCAGAGCTGGAATAAAACTGTTCACCCAGGAACCCCTTGCCTCTTTGCTCCTCCTCCAGTAACAACCCTGAAGAGAAACTCCCCCCTTCTCTCCCGCTGAAGGATAGCTGGGCAGAAAAGTCAGCTCTGAAAAGGGGCTCAGCCAAAGTTACTGTAGGGGACTGTGGTCATGAAACCGGGTGGACAAAAATGGTCCAGGAGCCACTGTAGAAGGATGGGTGCCCTTCATTGTGCAGCTGTCCTGGAGTCCAGGTTACCCCATCCCCCACCCCTGGTCTCCTGCTGTTGGCTTTTGGACAGAGCCTTGCAGGAGTTCCCGACCGTGTCTTCTAGGGCTAGGCCGGTAACTTCAGAAGATTTAAAGTTGCCAGATGAAGGAGAAAGCAGTAGGGATATTGGAAACCTGCCTAAGCGCCTAACTTCTGACTAGGGCTTTCAGTTGGGGGTGGGGAGTGTTAAAACTATGGCTGCATGGCTGCGCTGGCCAAAGAACCATAAGACAAAACTTCCAAGTACTGGTCAAGTTGGTGCCCCAAATACACCTAGGTCCTGTGTTCGTAACTTCCTGTTTGCTCTAACCTGCGGAGGATTCCTGGTCCCCTGGGACTCTCAATCTCAGCAGCGTAGAGAGTTCTGCGCTTGGAGGCGCCTAAGGAGGGCGCAGCGGGTCTTGGGTTTCTGGTGATGCTCCCCAGGTTGCCGGGCACAGCGAGAGTCTCGGGGTCCGTCACCGGCTACATTTTACTTCCACCAGAAACCGAGCTGCGTCCAGATTTTTCTCCCCGGGTTCGACTTGCCGCCCGGCACAGTTACAGGCTGGAGGGGGAGCGGGCGTGGGAAACCAGGAAACCCAAACCTGGTATGCGGTGAGGGGCGTGGCCGGACGAAGGGAGTCCCCGCCCCTCCCGGTAACGGCCCCGCCCCCCTGCTCTAGTGTTTAGCCGGCGCTCGCGCTCTGCACTGAGTCCTCGGGACCCCAAGAGAGTAGGTTGTGTTTGCTTAGGTCGCGCGCGGGACGCTACCTGGCGCGACAGATTGTGTCTCGCAGCCGGGATAACCTGGCTTACTGGTGTCCGCGGACGCCGCTGCAGCCGCGGCCGGAGCCAAGGCGCCGGTGCCCCGCGCTCTCCCAGGTCCTGAGCCTCTGCGCGCAAACCGCTTGTGTGACTTCCTCGCCGGCCGGGAACCGAGAAAGAGTCCGTGCCCGAGAATTGGGCTCTGCGCCCAGCGCCGAGGTGCAGGATGGAGAGCAAGGCGCTGCTGGCTGTCGCTCTGTGGCTCTGCGTGGAGACCCGGGCCGCCTCTGCGGGTAAGGAGCCCACTCTCTGCAAGTGAGGCGGAGAGGTGGGGTGCGGGCGGAGAGCGGGGACTCAGAGGAAGAGGACCTAACTCGGAGAGCTCCAGGGACCTGCGCTTTGGTGTTCCTTCACTTACCGAAGGGGAAACTGAGGTTCAAAGACTCAGCCAGGATTCTAACCTCCCCCGGGCTTATGTTGGAGCGTGTCCTACGGAGCCGAGACAGCCTCGGGCTCTGGGTAGGCGGGAGTGGGAAGGCGCCCCGAGCCGGGGCAGGAGATGCTCCGACGGCAGGAACAGGCGGTAAAAACGCCTGGAAGCGAGCGCAGACCGGGCGGCCTGGATGGCGCTCAGGGATGCCGCGGCTGCGGAGTGGAGCAGGGAACCCGCCTCCCGCTCTACTCCTCTTAACTTCAGCACGTATGCGCACTGAACACAGAGAGACGCTTTTCCTCCCGCAACTTGCAATGGTCTTTGGTGCAGAATGCTACTTTCCTGGCTGGAGGAAGAAGCGGCCCCCTCTTCTGTGACAGCTTCTCCCGGTGTCTTAAAGTAACTCATACTCCAAAGCGTTTGGAGTATGATTCCAGAAACCAGTATGATTTCTGAAATCTCTTGGGTTTGGCACTTAATTATAGGGTCACTTTTCTTGTCACTTGAAAATGCCCTCTGCTGCAAGGTTGGGAGCACACAGGCTCCTGGGCTTTTGATACAACAGAGCCCTTCCCTTCCCTTTCCTTCCCCTCCCTTCCCATCACTTCCCTTCCCATCACTTCTGTCCCCCCCTACTCTCCTCTTCCTCCTCCATTTCTCTCTCATTTCCTTTTTGTAGGCACAGTTTGCAGATTTCCCAGTCTCCACCCATTGGAGAATGGAGACTCAGGAAAAAAGTCAAATCTGCAAAAACATTCCTTGCATCAGAAGGGAATTCGCATGCCTTAAAAACACTGGCCCTGACACACAGGCCCAAGATCATCTGTCTACCGTTATTGAATTTTCTTCATAATGACTTGGTTCATCAGGCCAGCTCCGTCATGGGTGCCCATTTGTCCCTGACAAGCCCTCGCTCTCCCCCTCTCTGGGAAGGGAAAGACAGCCCAGAACATGGGCCTGCCCTGAGTCCTACAAAGACGTGAGCTGCTTTGAAGCTTGGCGTGTTCCTAGGGCAGCAGTTTAACAGTAGCCTGGCTCCCTGGATAAAATGGAGGTTGCCCTTTTGGAGTGTGTGACTTGCTTAATTGGATTGGACTATAATTGGTGCCATCGAATTCTAGAGACAGAGCCGCTGTTGTTTTTCCTTCTCGTCTTTGAGCGGGAAGGATAACAGCGCACAAAATAATTAATGTTGGTTATGGGATTTGAACATAAAAGGGCTTTTATTGTGTAGTAGCATACGTACCTCTTATAGCCAGAATGAGCTCTCTAAAGAGGAGGTCTCAAACTTGCCAATGAAAATGAATGGAGTTTAATAGATGGGGGGGGGGTGTTAGTCATTGATGCAAATCCATAACCTTGTTGACTAGATTTGACTGTGGACATATCCCTAGAATAGTGTGGTATTGTATTTGGTGTCTTATGAATGGGGCATCTTTTAAAGATGAGCATAGCTAATGTAGCTGCAGTCTATACGGCTGTACTTTATTACAGAGATGGTTGACAGGCTCTCAGTGGCTCCAGCGTGTAGGTCAGTGGTAGAGAACCGAGGCTCTGGGTTCGCTTCTCAGCACGGAAGAGTAAAAGTCATTTGCTGTGGTGGTGGAGTGGACACAGCTTATTGAGTGGCTAATTGCTTGCTACCGCATTTTCTTCACACATCTGCCCAACTAATGGGTTCTTATTTGGCTCCTCATGTAAGTCGCATCCAGTTACTGTTTTCAGGTTAATGTTTCTCAGTCATGTTCAAAATCCATCTATCAAACAAATTGCTTTTATTTTCCATTTCTCAAACAAAGTAAGATTCCATTATTGGAAGACTTGTTTACGAACATTTTAATTGCTTGCCTATTTTAGGGGTGATGACTTCTTTCATATTGAAAAGTGTTTTGCTGATTAATTGAATACAACTACCCAGTTCTATAGCCTTCTGAGGTGGCCGACAGAGCACCTGTAGGATAGTCATTTCAGATGCCATTTAAAATGCATATTTGCTGATCTAGGAATATCTAAACATACCATAAAGTTTAGAACCACTGCCCAAACACAAGTCATTAAAGATGCCAACTAGCTTCTGAGATGTATCAATGCCACTTAATTTCCAATGTTTTACATATACGTTATCAATCAATAGATCTGTAGTTATATTAGTAACATATGTGCATCTGATTAGATTGGGTGTATTCGGGAGCGGTATGTCTGTGAATCGGTTCGCACATCTGTGTAGGCGTGTGAGAACCCCTGCAGCCAGTTCACCGCCTGCCACTGGTTATTCACCTAGAGGCCACAGTGTCACAGCACTGAGTATTTGCCTTGCCTGTTTGCTCATACTTTCTATATTCACATGGCCTCGTATTTGTTCACGTTCACTTATTTGCCCAACAATGTCAATGCCAGCTGAGACCTTAGGAGTCATCTCTTCTGAGTTGCTGTGAATTAGAAAGCCTGGATGCCCGCCTGGCATTAGTTATCTCTTTCCTTTTGAGACAGAGTCTTACAATGTTGGCCCAGGCTAGCCTCAAACTTAAGTCCTCTTGTCTCATTCCTTTGAATGCTGGGTTCCCAGGGGTATGCTGCCACACCAGGCAGGTCAGTTACTTTATGAGCTGAGAGCTGGAAACTTTTGATGTCCCTTAATGTGGTAGGCTACTTCTGCTTGTCTCGTGCCTTTTAAGCACCTGGCAGCACTTTACAGTGAGGTGACTGAAAACTAGTCAGTTATCTTGCTGTGAAATGACCTGCTGTGATGTGTGTCCCCCACAATGTTTTGGTTTTTTTTTTCTTTCTGCGTTTTAATCCTTTAGGTAACAAGTGTCTTATGTCTCCAGCTTTGTGTCGGTATGAGCTCAGAGATTTGAGTAATCAGTTCGGACTTCCCCACCCCAACTGTAGCTCATTAGATTTACACTATTTTTAGTTTTGCTCTGAGAAGAAGCTTATTAAAATGCATGTATGCGTTAACTTGGGGGTATTTCTCTTCCTTAATTCCTTTCCCTCCATTTAAATGTGCTGTGTTTAAGAGCCACTACCTCAGCCTTTGCAGCTCGCTTACCAAAGGAAGTCCTTTACACAGCATGAGAAAAGACAATGGGACAAGGTCACAGTGGCTCCTGTCCCTTTCAGGGGTATGGAGAGGAGCTGTATAGAACTCTCTCCGGGGAGTTTTCATTAATCAGCAATTTAGTCAGATGTGTACATCCTATGCTCTACAAGAAATGTCAGTGGGCCCTTTCCCAAGGGCCTGAGATCATCAAATGGAGGTTCACCGGCTTTCAATGTCCCATATCCTTTTGTAAGACCTTGAAGTTGGCAACGAAGGAAAACAGGAACTCCACCCTAGTGCCGTGAACTGCAGAGCTGTTGTGCTGGTTTGCGACCATCTGCCCACTCTTCCTGTTTTGACAGAGCCTGTGAACTTTTACTGGGAATGGGCGCAAAGTAAATCCCACTTTTATACAATGAATTGCTGAAGAGGCCTTTTAAAACTCGGAGTGCGCATTGTTTATGGAAGGTGTTTCCTATTGGGTCCGACTCTTATCTAATTTGTTTCTAGGTTCGCCTGGTGATTTCCTCCATTCGCCCAAGCTCAGCACACAAAAAGACATACTTACAATTCTGGCAAATACAACCCTTCAGCTTACTTGCAGGTAAGGATTCCTTCTCAATTCAGATTTCCTGTGCGAAAGGACTCATTGTTTGCAGAGGTCACAACAATTTCCATCGCTGCAGAATTATAATAGGATTGTTGCAATTGCTTGCAAGTCATGAGACTTCTAAGAACTCATGTAATAATGAAACAATGAAAAAGGTCTTTTCAAACTTTTGTACCGTTTTGCTGGGGCCTTTTTCCGCACGTACAAACATTTTAAACAAACGCAACACTCGCATGCACGCACATGCGTGCACACGTGCCAAAAAACTGACATGTAACAGACCTCCGTGATTATTGATAAATCAGCAAAGTTAGGGACGCATCTTTATGAAATAGAGTTAAAGTTCCAGCCATGTTCATGCCACCCAGAATAGCTTTTGGACATCTCTTTAGCCCTTCTATAAGAACTATATTCTACAAATGAAACTCTGTCAGTGTTAGCAATCTCCTCTCTAGCCAGTAATATTCCTGACCATACATCCTGCTCAGACCACGAACTTCATACTCTAGCTTGATGTTCTGGGCCTCTTTGCCTCTTGCCAGCAAGACGTCATGCCGTCGATGCTGGGTAAGCTGCGAAACAGAACTCTTTGACAAGAAGAGGCCTTTGAATTTTGCTTTTCCACCAAGAGGCAAGAAAGAATACTTAAAGGAGGTGTGGGTGTTCGTGATCATTCACGAAAGACTCAGAGGTCTCTGTGGACATTCGTGTTTTGGTGGAGATGGCAATAGGTCCAGGCAATGGTGCCATCTGAGAAGAGTTCTTGGTGCCAGAAAGAACTTGGTACCTGGCGGCTTGTGGCATTGCTTCACATTTGAAGAATACCAGGTGGTCCATAAGACGACTCAAGTCTATTTTAGATTGTTGCATGTGGAGAGAACCCTAACCTAATCTAAGGTCTGCAAAACTCACCAATGCCCAGACTTTGGTGGGGGGGGGGGGGGGACAGAAAACTGTAGCAGGAGCTGATTGTCTTCTCTAAGTCATGTGGCGTTCCCAGAGACTTTCCTTCGCCTGTTCTCAGACACAAAGGTCACTTATGAGCTGCAAAAATTTCCTCCTCCCTCTGGAGACGGCAGGAACATTTCTTGTCTTCTTAACAAACCCTAGAGTGAGCGGGGCGTAGATGATGCTGGGACCTTATGGGAGTTTCAGGATCTTTTAGTGGGGGCTCAGTGGCTCACACTTTCTTATTCATATCGACTTCTTCCTTTGGCTTTGTGGCGAAATGAAGCAGTGAAAGTCGCGTCTGTTTGACATGACTCTCTCAAGGTGCTGTGGGCTTTCTTCTCTCTCTGTGGACTCACTCCTCACTCCCCCGTTGCCTCTACCTCCACGACAACTCTGGCTTCCTTGCTGTTCCCCAGTACTCCAGATGTACACAAGGCCGGCTTGGCCGCGGTCCTCCCTTTCCTTTCCCTCTTTTATGTTTTTCTTCACAGCGCTAAATTGTCCCCTTTCGTACAATGGCTTGTGCTTTTTAATTGTCTCCATTGATTGGAGTGAGTTGCATACAGGCACAGACTTTTTCTTCTTGGTGTACACTGGACAAGTTCTCTACCACTGAGCATGATATCTTTGGTCCCTTGAAGTATGTGTGTGTGTGTGTGTGTGTTTGTCCTTAATAAAGCTCAACAGTCACATATGCTTAAAAAGTATTTATTGAAAGAATGAACGTGTGAACTAGCAGAAGACACGTGAGTGTGTGCGTGATTTCCGAAGTGGAGAGTGTGATCTTTGCTGGCAGGTCCACGCAGACTGTGTGCCATCAGTGTCTGTCGGCTTCAGAGTGTCTATTGAGTAGTTTACACGCGCATGAAAACCACACCTTCTTAGTCCTCTTACTCATAGCCTCACTACACGGAGTGTCACCTTAATATCTTCCTGGAACGCTTTTTCAGGGGACAGAGAGACCTGGATTGGCTTTGGCCCAACAGTCAGCACGGTTCTGAAGAAAGGGTGTTGGTGACTGGGTGCAGCGACAGTGTCTTCTGCAAAACACTCAGAATCGCAAAAGTGGTCAGCAATGACACCGGAGCCTACAAGTGCTCCTATAGGGACAGCGACATGGCCTCCACCGTTTATGTCTACGTTCAAGGTAAGCGGCGGGCCAGAGTGTGTGTCCCACGTCCACTTCCTGTGTCTAAAACACGATGGGCACAAGAAGAGTTGAGTCCAACGAAAGAGGCTTGTCGGAAAAGCTGTTTGGCGAAAGGAATAGAAAAACGTCTCTCCCAGGCTTCCTTTGAGAAAGGACTCACTGACAGTCTGGGCTTTGGTTGCAGCTGCATTTCTCCTCTCCTGTCCCAGTTCCTTTTCCGAGGTGCTTTGTGATTCCCCGTGATCCGCATGGGCTTTGGAGACTCATAAGATGCCTGCTACCGTTTGAAACCCTGGGATCTTCCAAATTGAGGAAGCTTGGAAGCGAATCATAGTTAGGTTTCTGTGGTGAGATAGGTTATCTGTAGCCGGGAGGAGGTCTTTGCAGGAATGCATAGGGAAATAGCCAAGGACTCAGTTTTGCTTTTCTCTCCCTCCCCTGTAAGATCTTTCCTGCCCAGACTTACGCTTTATGAAGAAAAACAACAATTCACATACCTACGTGCAAAGCACGATGCCACCGCAAAAGAGCACCTGGAGGGCTGCATGTCTTGTCTGTGCTTGTGTGACCTGAGAGGGCGTGGGGTTTGCAACCAACTCCAGGGAGATGTAACCTACAGACACGAAAAGTCACTCCCTGGTCAGAGCAACTATTGTATTTTGAGAGGATGGAGAGCTGTTTGGGCTTCCTTGGTATACTTCCTCTTTAAGGGCTAGTGACCTAGAATTAATTTACAGGAGAACTTTAGCTTTTTTTTTTTTTTTTTGTCAAAGCAACTTTGCTTTGGTCTTACAGTAAAGAGCTAGTTTAGCTCTTTAATGTAATCAAGGTATGTAACTTAGAGTCCATATAGTAAAAACTACCATGCAACATGTATTCAGTATTAGGAGAAGGAATTATGCTCTTTCTCACATTTTAAAAATTGCACACCGCCTTTACTTATGAGAAACCTCTAATTAATAAAAAAAATTCAAACAATGCCAAAAAAAAAAAAAAATCCCTGCAAAGTAAAAAAAAAAAGAAAAACCTCTCTTCACTGATGAGATTCCTATACAATCATATGCTTCTCGGGAATATAAAGGTTGTTTATACATGTAGATTGATTTGTTACGTTTTCGTGAATGAGAGCTTTGCATGTGTGTATGTACACTGTGTGTGTACGCGTGTGCTATCGTGGAGTTCAGGAAAGGACAGCAGATCCCCTGTGCCTAGGCTGTGAGCCACCATGTGTGTGCTGGGAACCCAGGTCCTCTGCAGGAGCAGCCTGTGTTCCTATCTGCCGGGCCATCTCTCCAGCTCCGTGCTGCATTATATTTGACACAGGAGTACTACGTTTCTTTCAGAGAGAGGAGGATGGCCCTTGAAAGGTATTTTATCTATTCATCCTATGCAGACTTACATCTCAGAGGGTTTGAGGCAGGGAAAGATGACTCTGAGTCTTTTTCCTAACAGCCACTCTCACCAGACAGGAAGGTTCTTTATCGGGTACCACCCTAGCAGGTCTGCATTTTCATTTCAGCAGGATCAGTCTACAGAAGAATAGAGACTATATCCAAATAACCCATGGTACTCTTGAGCTTCTCAGTGCTTGGCATTCTTTTTTTTTTTTTTTTTTTTTTTTGCTCAGGGTAAACAGAGTCTAGGATAGAGTTCCATGGTCCCCTCCTCACTCCACAGAGCTGAGGGAGACAAGGCTCAGACCTTAGAAAATGCCTGGCTCCTTTTGATCTGGCAGTCTTGAGAGCTGTGGTTCTCTTGGAAGACTGCAAGGATTTCCTGCTCCCCAGCCTGTCTGGAAATGCTACAAGATGACCCTCTCCCATAATATCTCCTTACTTCCTTCTCCCCCGAGTCAGGAAACCTGGAGACATGTGAAAAGTCACTTCAGGAGTTACAGTAAACATTTTATTCTGAGAGGATGCATGGCTGCGTGGTATTCTTTTGTTTACTTCCCTTTTAGGGCTACTGAAATAGAACCGATTTACCAAATAACTTTGGTCTTAAGTCAAGAGGTTAATTTAGCTTCGCAAGGCTTGCTTTGAATGAAGTAGATCCTACAATTCTCCATTAACACGCCCATGGAGTGGGATGCAGCAGCCACAAGCGGTGGTCTCTAGCACTGTTTACCTAAATACTAGTGTCTTTGGATAGACCGTGGAATTCTGCTCCTGCCCCAGCTTAGCATTTAGAAATTTAGATACTGAGCCACCCAGGAGTTTGGTCATGAAATTTAACAACAGGAAAGACAGGCTTGCATGTAGTGTTCCCTATGGGGAGGTCTTCAGTGATGGTCTCCACCTCACTTCCTCAGTCCTCTGACCCTTCTGCTAGTGGATGGAGCCAGGAAGCTGGCCTTGGCTTCCTAAGATAATGCCTATGTCATGGGGAGGGGATGGCTAAGCTAGCTGCAGCTCTATGCTTTCCAGCTGGGGAGGAAATCAGATTTCTGCTGTTGAAAGGAATTAGTTACTCTTCTTCCCTTTGGTTTCATTAACCCTTTCTTCACCTCTAAAGGGGCTTGATCAGATTTTGGGGGGTGGGGGTAGAAGGTGAGAGGTTATCTCTGAGATTTCAAGAGGTGGCCCCAGACTCTGCCCTCTGTCTCTAGGGAGTGGAGTAAATCCCCAGCCGTGTATTAATAGTGTGTGAATAGTGTCTGACGGATATCAAAATTACTCTGACTTTCATCTCAGTCTTTGGCCTTGTGGTTTTTTTTCCTAATATTCATTTTCAGAGATAATAATAAGTGCTAAATCTTAAACTGAATGTAGTGGCTATTAAACATATAAAGACTCTTTTCTACAAGTCCTCACAGACTTAAGGTATTATAAAAATCATTCTTTTGAATTACTGAACCATCTGATTGTTGTTTTCTCTTAGTTTAAAGATCCTAATCTCTTTTTCAGGTCACTTACGTTATTTGCCTAATGAAAGAAATGGAATTTTGTCATCATAAAACTCATAACTTAAGTGTATGGATTTAAATTAAAATATTTATTTTATAAAAAAATTATAGTAACCTATGAAAGCATGGACTGTCTAAAGTAGATTCTACTTGTTAATGTTCTATGTGGAAGATGTTCAGGTCATTTTTTTAGTGTTTTCATTCAGATTTTCTCTCTCTCTCTCTCTCTCTCTCTCTCTCTCTCTCTGTGTGTGTCTGTGTGTGTGTGTGTGTTGTGTGTGTGTGAGCACATGCGTGTGTTTATCTGCCCCTCCTTGACCATATCTCTGGAGCCAGATAACCTGTGGGTGTCTTTGCCCATGCAAGTTGTCAATGACAGTCATTCACTCGTTCAGTTAGAGTTCATGGACCTGAACATACTAACTCTCCTGCCAATAACTCACTGAGGGAATTCACTTTTCTTCTAGATTACAGGTCCCCGTTCATTGCCTCCGTCAGCGACCAGCACGGCATTGTGTACATCACTGAGAACAAAAATAGAACTGTGGTGATTCCGTGCCGAGGGTCAATTTCAAACCTCAACGTGTCACTCTGTGCCGTGAGTTGCCTCCTTTTCAGTCCCCTCATACGTTTCCATAATTGTAAGCCTTTTTGGAGATGAGCTTCCTGCTTCCAATACCATGTCACTAGTGAAATGCAAAGGTCCTTTAGAGAAAGTCAACAGCACAATAAATAAGACCAACTTGTGTTCTTGAAAGTGAGGTGGGTTCTTTTCTGGTCATTGAGTTTCGCCAGTGCTGGGCTAAATATTTATTGCTTCTTTTTTTTTTCCCATCAGAGATATCCAGAAAAGAGATTTGTCCCGGATGGAAACAGAATTTCCTGGGACAGCGAGACAGGCTTTACCATCCCCAGCTACATGATCAGCTACGCCGGCATGGTCTTCTGTGAGGCAAAGATCAATGAGGAAACCTACCAGTCTATCATGTACATAGTTGTGGTCGTAGGTAAGTCAATATTGCCTTTCTGTGTCATTAATACAATATAATAAAGACTGTGGCTTTCTACATGAAGATCCTGGAGGGTAAGGTATAGGGTTGAAGGGCAAGAGATATGGAAAAAGATTTTAACTCCGGATAGGGGCAACGCCTTACAAATACTCTTCTCTACCACACCAACTATTGCAACAGGGATTTCTCCTTTCTTGCCAAGACCAAGAATGAAAAAGCACCACTGCGGGAGATCATTTTCTGAAAAATGCAATATTCAGAGCACTGCTTGGCACCAGTTCTTTTAATTGTATCTGTGAAAACTTCAGCGATTTTTCTCAAGCGGAACACATTGGCCTAGACCTTATTCTTCACCAGGTTAAACATCTTTGAATATGCTGAAGATAGTGACTTGTAAATCACTATAAACCATTTTCCTACGAGCCATCAAGAAGCAGTGAGGTCCCCAAGGAAAAATGATGTCACACTCTTTGCAGCACTTTAAAAGATGTATGCCAAGTCCCAGACTTCTTTTCCATCTTACTTTCTGTTTTTATCATTTTCTTACTCCAGGATACAGGATTTATGACGTGACACTGAGCCCCCCTCATGGACTCGAGCTATCTGCCGGAGAGAAGCTCGTCTTAAACTGTACAGCAAGAACTGAGCTCAACGTGGGGCTGAACTTCAACTGGCAAGTCCCTTCTTTGAAGGTAACACTCACAGCCCAGAGCCAGAGCTCTGAGTGCTTTGATTGTAAGCCCTGTTGATGTTTTCCTAAGAGATACCGGGTCCTCTCTGGTCAGGTAAATTATAAAGCCTTTTAAACACACACACACACACACACACACACACACACACACACACACACAAACACACACACACACACGTGCCCCCACACTTCTAGGAGTATGACAGAATGCATAGCAAACATGAAAAGATGGCATGCTAGGAGCCCCAACACACCCTGCTGCTCTGTGTATTGGTCTCCACTAGGTTATCAATCTTTTGACATTATGCCATTTCTTGGTTCTCTAATGCCCTTGATCTATTGTTCCCTTCTAGAAGTGACCCAAGTTACATTTCTCCTTAAACGATTGTTATTTGTTTCTATAGTCCGCACACATCTCATTAGCTAGAGGAGGTTTCAAAATCCTTCCTCGGTTCCACTTATTTCGGCTTCCACTCATTTCTCCTGAATCCCAACATCCGTGGTGTCCCCGTGCTGTTTAAGGTCTCTGTTATTACTAGTAGTGTTCAGCAAGGGACAGGGCTTGGTTCTGTGGGTCTCGGGGAGCTATGGCAGGGCCTTCTTCTGGGCTGTGAACATTGACTAAACGCTCTTGTTTCTCAGCATCAGCACAAGAAGGTTGTAAACCGGGACCTGAAACCCCTTCCTGGGACCGTGACGAAGAAATTTTTGAGCACCTTGACAATAGACAGTGTGACCCGGAATGACCAAGGGCTGTATGTTTGTGCAGCGTCCAGTGGGCTGATGACCAAGAGAAACAGCACATTTGTGCGAGTCCACAGTAAGCCGCCATCTTCTTGCTAACACAATGTACCTGGCAGAGCCAGATGGCTTACATTGACTTAGGTCACCTTGTTCACTCAGAAGATACTCTTGAACTCTTGTTAATGAGGACACAAGACCTGGAGGTCCACGGTATAGCTTTGGAGTCAGGGACTTGGGTTCAAAATCTCAACTTTAAAATGACCCGTGCTACTGCTCACTAGACATTATTTGTTATGGCTGTATCTGAGATTCTAATTATTATAGAGTGTTAGTATATAGGATGGCATGTTTTTAAAGATTTCAATTTATTGCAAGGAAGGCTAAGGGGCTTCCTTGAATAAGCATGAACTTCTCAAATTGGGGAAACTCAGATCCCTTGGCTTCCCACAGCTTTTGGTAAATCACCCAAATTTTTAGTTGTACCCTCTCATTCACATAAGTGTCTCAGTTTAGATAATTTATGCATGCCAGAGCCCCAGTGTATGCTTTTGTAGGATCATGTTGCAGCTCACGTGGGATAGTTTATTTAGTGATGTCTGGGTCTTGCTCTTGCCAGACAAGTGGTCTATCATGAAGTTACTTTAAGGAAGTGAAGGCAGAAGAAGGGGGAAGGTTAGGAGGCTGATAGTGAGAATCCAGAGATGGTGGGAGACTTGGACTAGGGAGTCTGTGGAGGAAGTAAGAAGAGACACCATCCTGCATATATTCTGAAGGCATAGTCACCAAGGCTTCCTGGTTGATTCATTGACAGTGAAAAAAAAAGAGAGAGAGAGAGAGAGACGATGTGAGTTTTAAGATGGGCAACTGAACTGTGGTATCACTAAATGAAGGGGCCTGGGCTGGGCTGAGATGTGTAGAAGCTTGTTGAGCGTGAACCTTTGGAGACGCCCATTAAACATCCACATGGAGATGTCTGATATGTGAAGCCGGAACCCAGAGAAGTCAGGGCAAGGGCTGAAAGTTTGTAGATGTAAATGATGCTTTAAATCTGAGACTGGCTAGAAGAGGGGATAGGTAGAGAGAGAAGGTCTGAGGAGCAGGTGTTGGTAGAGGGTGGGTAGAGGGTGCTATGGGAGCAGGGGAGAGGGCATACCCACTGATCCCTGGATCACTTGGAGATTTAGAGAAGACTGGGGGAGGGGGAATAGAATGCTTAAGGCTTATGAGAGAACACTCGTGAGGGCAGAATGCCAACAAAGGCTAGAGGGAGCTGAAATGTGGCTGCTGCCATGTGGAGACTCTCAGAATGGCAGGAAATACGTGTACCCCAACATCTAACTTTTCACTTGATTGAAGATCTAAACCAAAAGGTGCATTTATAGTAGCCTGGCACTTATGAGACCCGTTGCTTTCATTTTCTTCCAGCAAAACCTTTTATTGCTTTTGGTAGCGGGATGAAATCTGTGGTGGAGGCCACGGTGCGCAGCCAAGTCCGAATCCCTGTGAAGTATCTCAGTTACCCAGCTCCTGATATCAAATGGTAACTGCCGGAAATAACAGCAAAGCATCCGTTTGCATGAAATACAATCCTTTTCTTGTACTAACCCCTGGGGTTCTCTTCCGCAGGTACAGAAATGGAAGACCCATTGAATCCAATTATACAATGATAGTGGGCAATGAGCTCACAATCATGGAAGTGAGTGAAAAAGATGCAGGAAACTACACCATCATCCTCACCAATCCCATTACAATGGAGAAACAGAGCCACGTGGTTTCTCTGATTGTGAATGGTGAGTCTATTCAGTTTCTCCTCTGCCCCAAATTTACTACTAGGAAGAGAGAGACTACATCTTCCCATGTCTCCCAGCCATCATCCCTTTGTCTCCTGCTGGATCGTTCACATTACTAACTGGACCAATGCAGAAAAAATTAATAAATAAAAAAATGAGACAGTGAGGTAGATTTGAAATGAGATGTGACATGGCATGATCTGGCCATGCATCCTTGATAGGTCATGTAAATGTTTCTGTTTGTGGTCACAGGCAAGGTGAAAGTAGATGGTACCCCCCAGCCAGATGCCTCTGGGGTCACTAGGCTTCGTGAGGTCCCATTGCTCCTGTCCACGAGACTCTCCTTGTGGTTCGTGTGGCATTTTAGTCTGAAATTTTAGCTGCTTTACTGCAGATACATGACAGATCTCCTCACAGGAGAGCTGAGGAGACTGGTGATGGCTTACATTGCTGTCCACAGTCAGGGGACGTATTTTGAGTCTGTCCAGGAAAGCCTGGAAGCTTTTGATTTGAGAATGATTTAAGCTTTACTTTGCAAAAGTGAATGTGATGATTAGCTATTTGGGTTTGGGGGTAGAGAGATGCCATGGTCAGGTGAGCATAGCACATGCCATGCTGACTTAAAGTGTCTTTCTCACAGGACCTTCTTAGAATCTTCACAGACTAATGAATATTGCCTTCTCTAGTGAGAGAGATAGATTTAAGTGGATTTTATTTTTTACTAGTGCCCCTTTTCTCCCCTAGTAAATGCATTAATATCTTGCTACAAACACAGTTGGAGAAATGCTTCTGGTGTAATTTTTTTGTGTTCCCTACTGGCACCACACATTAAAACTTCAAGATACTGTCTCACTACAGTAACGCACTTCCCACGCACCTCTGTCTTCCTCTGTGTATCTTCTGAGCATAGCTTCATTTCTTTCTTCTTTAGGGAGCATTTTAAAGATAGCAGGTTCTGGGAAGGTTGCTTAGAGGCAGCATGGGTAAAGGGGATCCAAGACAGGGGAGGAAGGCAAGAGCTAATTAAGTACAGCGAGGAAAAGGAAGTAATCAGGCAGCAAAGACAGAGAGACAGGCAGTGAGCAGCCCCACAGCCCCACTTCACCGAATCACCACAACTAGCGCACCCTAGCTTTTCCTTGGTGTGTGCAATGCATACGGAAGTCAAGTCAGGTTTCTCTTTAGAAGCCAGGGACTCTACCTTTGTCTTGAATTTTGCCACGTATTAACTGATGATGGTTTGGGGCAAGCCTTTCAATGCCTGCCTCATTTCTTCTCGTGTGTGATGTGAGAGCCACAGCCATGATCACGGGGACTGAAAGCCAATGTAAAGCACCTCAGTAAGACTTGGTGCACAATCAAATGTATTTGCTGTGTTATTCCAAGTGTATTCTCTCTGTAGCCTCCCCCCAATTCTTGCTAGGCTGCAGGACATGGGAAATAACGTCTTTAATGTAGAGTGAGAGAGCAAGACATAGAAATGTGCAGCTGGCGTAAAGTCACCCAGCTTACCAGCTGTTAGTATTAGGATAGCATAAGAGTTCAGGTTTTTCTGACTCCAAGTCTAGGTGTCCTCTGGAAAAGCAAGCAGGGGCGAAATCATATGAGTACAAAGGGCAGATCTGGTGGCTGCAATCCTCTCTTTGCTCCTCAGAGCAATCGGGCAACTCACAGGTTGTCTTTTCTGCCTCCAGTCCCACCCCAGATTGGTGAGAAAGCCTTGATCTCTCCCATGGATTCCTACCAGTATGGTACCATGCAGACGCTGACATGTACCGTCTATGCCAACCCTCCCCTGCACCACATCCAATGGTACTGGCAGCGAGAAGAAGCATGCACCTACAAGCCCAGGTGAGTGGGGCCTCGGCCTCTGTTTTGCTTGCTTTCATTCATCCCTTCTTGCCAAGCTATGCCATGATTCCATCTAAACCTACAAAGCTGTCTCCAAGGAAGTTACCCTATAAGGGGTACCTGGACTCTACTCTCACTTCCCTCCATGGCTTAAATTTTAACAGACTCTGTGGCTTGGGGCATCCCACTGTGTGAGTCAGCTCTTTCTTTTTAGTTAGCCCCAGTGCATACCTCTCCAAAATGATGCTATTTGCTGTGTTTGCTAATTGCCAATCTTTGCATCTTCTTCTGTCTGTGAACTGGGGTGGACCACATTGCTCCTTCTTATCTATGGGAAGGTCCATCTCCCAGAGGAAGTGCTGATGGATGGGAGGCAGTGATAAACCTAGCCCAGGCCTCAAGAGCCTCAGACCCTGCTTATCAAGTTCTACCACAAGTGCAGACATCCTTCGGGAAAACAACAGCCACCACCTTCAACCTACCATCCCAAGCATTCCACTTCCTGTTGTTGTTTTTGAAATAGCAAACACTAGTTTCTTCCTCAGCTGCTGGCCATTTCCTAAACAAAAGCCACAGTCCCAGAGAGATGACTTTAAGAAGCCCAATGGCTTCCAAGTTTCCTTACCTTCCTTTGAACTAAATTAACTTGGATTGTCTTGTCGATCCAATTTATGAATGGAGACTTGTTCCCAGAATAGCAGCTTCCCTTCTGTATCCTCAGTATCCTTGGACCTTTCTACTGTTGTTGGCATCTATTTTTAATTGGCGCCAAGTCCTGTAAAGTGCTAGGCTGTGTCGAAAGTTATCAGTAAGAACACGATAACCATAGGCTGACCCTTTTCGGTACTTCTGAATGAAAGAGAAGTCAAATCATGACATGCTGTCCTTCCTCTGCCTTGCAGCCAAACAAACCCCTATACTTGTAACGAATGGAAACATGTGGAGGATTTTCAAGGGGGAAATAAGATCGAAGTCACCAAGAACCAATATGCCATCATTGAAGGAAAAAACAAAGTGAGTCTGAACTTCTTGATTTTGAACATTCCTCTTTCTAATTCTCACTTTCTGAATAGAAGGCTGCAGAATAACATGTGAAGCTACATTGGAGGTTAATAATCAAATAGTCTGTGTGACATCATCCAAGAGAGAAAAATAAAGTGTGAGTTTTTCATACACACACACACACACACACACACACACACACACACACACACACACCTTCAGCCTTAAAGAAGAACAAATTTATGCCATTTTCAGAAAGGTCGCGCTCATCATGTTAAGAAAAACAAGTCAGACGTAGAAATACAAACATGTTTTTCTCTCCTATGAATCAAGATGGAAAAAACAACATGAAAGTACAGGGGTCTACTTGGGAAGAGGAAGGGATCATTTGGAGTGAGAAGGGGGAAAATATGGGGTAATTGGAAGTGAAATAACCTAAGGGTATTATATACATGTACAAAAATGTTATAAGGGAACTTGTTATTATAGTTAATGCCTACTAATTTAAAAAGAGAAGAAAAATACCAGTAGCTACAATACCTATAGCTTACTAACAGTTTATTGAAGAGAAACAAAACCCATAACACGATTCAGTGCACACACCCACTGAAAGGTAATTCTGATAATAGTCACATGAAAAATGCCAAGTGTGCGTAATGTCTATTAATGTGAATCCTTGAGGAATTCCGGAGCACTTTGGCTTTCTGTGTATAACTGCCCGGTCAGAGCTGTTTGCCCTTGAAGGTGGGCAGTGAACGGTGTGAATGGCAAAGGCAGGCCTTAGCAGCTGAAAGGGCTGATGGATGTCTGTCTCGGTGTGCATGTACATGCTCAGCCTGCATTGCTCATGGCTCGGGACTTGTATGTTCACAGACTGTGAGTACCCTGGTCATCCAAGCGGCCAATGTGTCAGCACTGTACAAGTGTGAAGCCGTCAATAAAGTGGGACGAGGAGAGAGGGTGATCTCCTTTCACGTGATCAGTGAGTAAACCTCTCCGGAGGCCAGGGAGGGGGGCAATCACTCAGAGAGTGGGTGCTAGGCTGTGAGGTCCTCTGCTGTCCTTGGGATTTGTGCGAGTGATACGTTGTGTAGCTAGGACTTGAAGGTATCAGAAGCTAAAGCTACTCAGGTAGCCTCTGGGCTCGTGGAAGCGTTCATGCGAGGTCACTGGCCAGCAAATGCAGCCACTGATGTTCTCAGCCTCAAGCTCCATGTTGTGTGTGGCTTGTCTTGCTTGCTAGAGTTAGTGTGATGACTCACCGGGGTTCAAGAAGTTATCTGTGGGTTTGCTATAGACGAGCACTGAGGCCAGGGCCTTTGGGAGTGAGGGGAACGTCCTTCCAATGCTCCTGATTTCGTCTCTGCAGCTTAGTTTTATGGGTGAACCTGAGCTGATTGTACTGGCTCAGATATTTTAGTCCCAGCCAATTGTAATAAATATAGTTTAGTCTGGCTCTCATTGTAATGAATGTAGTTTTATTGTCACATATTGATAAGAAGACATTTGTTAAAGATTCTACATGGCGATTAAATGCCTCGCGTTGGGATTTTTGCTTATTTGTTTGTTTTTTTCTTCATCTTGGAAACTATATCCAGGACTCAAAGTGGAATGAAGTAAATGCTTGGGGAAAATTAATTCACATTTTCAAATTATACATTTTGGGAAATGAACTTCCTTGTCTGGCTCTGTCCTTGTAGTAACGGCTGCAAGAGCTGTCTCTTAGCTCTTCATAGCAGCAAGAAGACGATGGCGTCAGGCACCAACTTAAGTCACCATCCTCTAACTATGGCTTTACATTTCAGAGGGTCCGGAAATTACTGTGAGACCTGCTGCCCAGCCAACTGAGCAGGAGAGCGTGTCTCTGTTGTGCACCGCAGACAGAAATACATTTGAGAACCTCACGTGGTACAAGCTTGGCTCACAGGCAACATCCGCCCACGTGGACGAGCCAGTTTGCAAGATCTTGGATGCCCTTTGGAAGCTGAATGCCACTATGTTTTCTAACAGCACCAATGACATCTTGATTGTGGCGTTCCAGAATGCTTCCCTGCAGGACCAAGGAGACTATGTCTGCTCAGCTCAAGACAAGAAGACCAAGAAAAGACACTGCCTAGTCAAGCAGCTCATTATCCTAGGTACCGAGGCATCCCTGGGTGGTGGAGCTGCAGTGCCTTAAATGCACTGTGTCTGAGTGCTGTGTCAAGGAATAGTACAGGCCTCTGGGAGCGTTTGCAGTAGACTGGTACACTCCTGGAAGCAGAACAGAGCCAATAGTGGTGAGGGGATACATTAAAATTAGAAGCTTGGCTCTTCCCAGCCTTTCTGATGAAGTCACTGCCAGTGTCTGCACGGGATTCGCTCGAACCAGGGAACTTCCTGTGACATCTTTGGCCATTCAATGATTATAGTCAGCACCTTTGTGTAATACAATGAGCAAAGTGAGGGCCAGAAGCTCATAGTGCTGACCTAGAAGGACAGGTTGACGCCATAGGGTAAATACTGGGTGTGCTGAGAGGTCTCTGATCCATGAGAACAAAAACTGGTCTCTGCTTGCTTGTTTTAATTTTAGCCATAGAACACACTGGCATATCCTAGGTTGTAACATGAGCCATAGAGCACACTGGCATATCCTAGGTGGTCAATGGGATACCTGCTTCATGAATAGTGGGATGAGGGGTTTAAGATCTAGATGATTCCATGGAAGGGGAGCTAATACTCATCACCTGTACTTCCGTGATACCCTATATAGTCCAGGATAGGTTAAATTCAGTGAGGTAAGTCTGTGGTTAGAAAGCCTTTCACATTCCCTCTGGGGACGCTCTTGCCTTGTCTAACCTTGTACTTTGCAGAAGCTGGACAGTCTCTGCTCTTTCTCTGAGAAGATCTGGTGAATTTAAGGGGTTCTTGCTTTGTGCTTTTTCCTTTCATTTTCTCCTTTCTTTGCTGTGTTGTTCAAGGTTCTTGTGATTCTTACCTTCTCTGTTTTATAGTACAAGGAAGGGAAACTGCCCAGGTGAACTCATCTACAGCAAAATTTTATATGAATATCATCTTTTTGAGTGCTTTGGCTTATTGGAGGAAGTCTCTCCAAATAGACAGTAGCATAGGATTTTCTGTTATTAAAAACTTGGGGACAGAGGGAAAGACATTTGTGAGTCAAGTCATTCCCAAGACCCTGGAAACCACATCACATTTAGAACTATGCATATAGAAGTTTATTAGCTGGTCCAGATGAGGAAGAGTTTAGAAAGAGATGTGAAGGAGGCTGCTGGCTTAGCCATGACCAGGAAATTTACAGTCAGTGGGTACGCATCCATAAGGGAGCCCACGTTGTTTTCAGACATCTGTGCTTAGAAAAGCACCAGAGCCAAGTGCATTTGTTTAAATTCCCATGCAGCGCAAGGTGGTGACGACCACATTTTGCTAAGTGTTAAAGAGAATTCTTTCCGCATGATTCTTCTTGATGCTCATCAGATATTTCCACAGCAGTCGGATGACTTTCTGGACATGGGTAACATGAAGCCCGTGTTTTGCTGTACATTTATACAAACGCCCTTGACTTTTCATTAGACATTACCGTCTAGTTTGTTTGTGTTTTAGTGGAAACCACACTGGACTTTCAGGCCCACCAGACTCTATTATTATCTTAACCATTTATTTAGTTATAAGGACTTGGCTAAGACGTTTAAGCCCTGAGCTGCAATCATGTCACTTAAAAAACAAGGCTAATGGCCGGGCCCTCATTATATATGACGGGAGGTGAATATTAGAAATGACATGAAGTTATCCAATAAATAGGTCACTCCTTGTGTAATTGTGCTGAAGCTTTGCCCTTCTCACGAGAAAACATGAATTCTACTCTTAGTGGCTACAACTTCCTAGAGAAGAAGTTATCCTTGGGAAAAGCCTTTTGGGATTGGGCGGGGATGGGGAACCTATAACCTGAAAAGCCAATCCCCCAAGACTCCCAAGGATTTTGTGATTTGCAGGTGGCTAATGCGAATAGTCAAAGGCTGCAGTATCTTTCTGAACTGTTTCACCCTCCAGGATTGCGGTTGTCAACTTCTGTGTAGTTTCAGCCCACTTTATCCATGAGCTACTGCCTATGAGGTTTAGACTGTTTAATAGTCACAGGACACTAAAACTAAAACTGCTCCAACAGTTGTAACCATGGGCTCTCTGGTTTTCTTTCTATGTTCACAGAACGCATGGCACCCATGATCACGGGGAATCTGGAGAACCAGACGGCAACCATTGGTGAAACCATTGAAGTTGCTTGCCCAGCGTCTGGAAACCCTACTCCACACATCACATGGTTCAAAGACAATGAGACACTGGTGGAAGACTCGGGTGAGTGAGTGACACTTGTCTATTTCTCTGGTTGCAGAATTTTTTTCAAGAATGCTGTGTAAGACTGCTATCACCTCACGGTTTGTTTCAAAGTAGACAGAAAGCAGTAGTTAGCAGGGAAGCTGGAAAAATGGCTCAGTGAAATGCTTGCCACCCAAGCATGAGGGCCTGCCTTGGCATCCCTAGAACCCATGTAGAATCCTCGACTCAACATCCTTCTGAAATCCCAGTGCCAAGGGGCAGGTGGGGGAGGGGAAGACAAAGGCATCCTTGGAGCTCAGCTGCCAGCCAGTCTAGCTGAATTGTCAAGCTTCAGATTCAGGGAGAGACCCTGTCTCAAAAGAATGACGTGGGATGCAATAAAGAAGCCACTTGACATTGACCTCTGACCTCTATACACATGCATGCCATGCTTCCCAACCCTAAACACTCAAGGAGGTATTTGGGTACAAGGGTCTGGCTCATTTCAGAGTCAGACATAGCATATTTGGAATCCTGTTGATTTTTACCTGAAGCTCCTGTGGGAGATCAGTCAGTAGTCAATCCTATGCACCTCTTTGGAGTTAGATAATAGTTTGAGATGAAGGGCAGCCACTCTAGTTTTTAAAAATGTCCTGGATGAAGCACATCACATCATCAGGAATAAAGCGAGCATTTCTTTCCACTTTCAGGCATCGTACTAAAAGATGGGAACCGGAACCTAACCATCCGCAGGGTGAGGAAGGAGGACGAGGGCCTCTACACCTGCCAGGCCTGCAATGTCCTCGGATGTGTGAGAGCGGAGACGCTCTTCATCATAGAAGGTCAGTACGGTGCCACAGGCCCATCAAATGGGTTTGCGGCGTTAGCTTGATTTGTACATAGCCTCAAATACCTTGAGTAGGATGGCGTGTGGGTGGCTCATGATGCTCTTCATGGTGGCGGAGTGTCTCATCAGATAAGGTCCAGCTTTTGGAATAGTTTCACAGGTTTTATAGATTTTTTTTTTGGGGGGGAGGGATCTTAGCATCATGTAAATACACATAGCCTGAAGTCAATTTTATACAACATTTTCATTGCACCTACCTTTTTTGGGTTGTGGCCTTTCACACGAGACAAGGGGTGGGTCTTACAAAAGTTTTAGATCTTGGTCATCTGGAAGTTCAAGTAAGGGTTTCTCCACTTGTTCTTTAAAACTTGTCTTCACTGTATATGTATGCTTTTAGCCAGAAAATGAAGTTAGTGTGTGCTTCAGCCTGTACCCTGTTTCTTGGTCACGCAATTCTCTCTGTGAGAAAACTTTCAGGCAGGAGTGATGAGTATTCTCCTGTCCCTGATTCTCACTTTGTTTCAGTGGTCAAGTTAACATACAGAAATGGCCCTTTAATATAGACTTGGAAAAAAATGGATTTGGTGTTGGACATTGCTATTCAGTTAGTGACAAGGATTCAGAATTCCCCCCAGAGCCAAGACAAGATTCACTCACAAACAATGGATAATTAATAGAAGATTGCTTTTGTGATGTGGAAAATTGGGGGTTATTATTGAAAAGTGAAAGGAAACTTCTTTCCCACTACTAAGTGTGTGTGTGTGTGTGTGTGTGTGTGTGTGTGTGTGTTTGAGGTGAAATTGAACCTTTATTTTCAGTCAGTAATATGTGACAGAATATTTTATCTTAAGAAGAAGATGATGCCTGAGTCTTTTTTTTTTGTAAGCCACTATGAGAACAATGCAACTATAATGTGGGAGTGAAGGAGTGCTATGCAAGGGGGTGATTGAAGGCAGTCGGAGGAGTAGGTTTGGTGGATTTCTAAAGTCTTAAAGTCTAGATGTTGGTCCCGTTAATCTGTCCAGCTCATATTGAATAGAAATGCATCTAGAGCCCCCAGCATGCTGTCAAATCCGGAAGATTGTTAGGAGCCCGTAAACTGCAGCTGCAAACGAAGATGCCAAAGGGCAAGGTAGTCTGTCACTTCCAAAGGCGTTCAGGTCTTAGTGCCAATCCCAGGGAGCATGTGCCTGCCTGTTCTCTCTGCCACCCTGCCTCTACCCACTAGCCCTCTGCAATAGGTTACAGTGCACAAGTCGGCACAGCAGCATGGGTGCTATGAAGACTTACCTGGAGACAGTAGTGAGCTAGAGAGAGAGAGAGATGTAGACGTTGAATGCTCCTGATCAGCTCTCAGATGTTAAACTGAGAATATTCACACATAAACTGGTAGAGACGGTTGAGTCTTTGACCTTTCTTCTTCTCTCACACGAGAAGGATTTTACGTATTTACATATAGATAGAGAATTACTTCCCTGCAAACAGTGGAGAAACCAAATCCACTTACAGATGCAGAGCGTGTCTCCCAACGGGTACCTCTTATTTAACCAACTAATTAATTGCTTGTCTTCTGGCTTCTGGGCCATCCCCCACAGCTCGGAGTTTGCTTTGACTCGCACTGCATAGTGTGAGTGGAGAGATGAGACCCTAAGTGATAATTGTTGTATCCCAATCACCTTGGTGCTAATGACTTGGTGCTGAGAGCCTTCTGCCTGTAATCCTCTACTTGTAATGAGTGCTCTCTCTCTCTTTCTCTCTCTCCCATAGCTTTACTTGCCTACCCTTTCCTCCTCCTTATCTCTGTGCTTTCACTCTCTGTCTCTGACTTTGTCTGTCTCTTCTTTCTCTCTCTCCCTCTCTCTTCCCCGCTACCTGACTTTTGCCACAGAGGGACAGGATGGGTCAGCTCAATTTGGACAGAACCAGTATAACCCTCAAACAGCCCAACTTTCTGTGTCTCCCAGACAAGTAGCTTAATCTTTCAAATCTTATTTCTTCATCTGCAATCTGAAGGTTATTGAAAAGGCAGAGAAGGGTGACAGACTGAAAGCAATGGATATAGAAGTAGTCATATCATAAGTAGCTGTCTGGGCAAAGGGTCTTACTTATCTCTTTGTGTTGTTCCCTTAGCAATCATTTTTCCCAGGCCACCCAAGCAAAAACATTGAGTATCAGCACAAAACTAGACTGCATTATCCACGATTAGAAGTACTTTTTTTTTCCCAAAGAGTTCTCTTGCTAAACACATCCCCTATGCATTTTTTAAAGACACTTTCTCTGTGATTCTTTGTTTGAGAATGTAATTGCTGCATGTTTTCATGAGTAGTATGCTCCTGTTGTTCTTTGAGAATGCTGTGAACTCTATCCAGCTTAAGGAGTTTGTGGCTCTTGGTCTCTAGGCGTCTTGAAAGTGGATGAGCATGAGGTCTTGCCTTTCACGTCACATTTTAGCACCTTCTACCAAAGGCTGTGGGTTTCCAGTGGTTGATCACTCAAATGTGTCTTCCAGGTGCCCAAGAAAAGACCAACTTGGAAGTCATTATTCTCGTAGGCACTGCAGTGATTGCCATGTTCTTCTGGCTACTTCTTGTCATCGTTCTACGGACCGTTAAGCGGGTAACAGCATAATTTCCCTCCTGTCCCCTGCGTGTTGGTTTTTGTGATTAATGGAACCTGACTAGGCTTCTTTTTGCTGCTTCTTCCCATTGTTATTGGCTCAATGGACACATTTTTACTTCAATACAATAACATTCTTGTCCATTTTCTTTGGATGGACCATGGGCATTAATTGATGGAAGCCACTAGAGGGGTAAAAGGTTTGGACTGTCCGCTGTAATTAAGATTTAGAAACGTTATTCCGAACTCATTTTGGAAGCTGAAGAGGCACTAAAGGCAGGGTTATAATGGGACTGCTCTCAAACTCCGTGAGTTTTATTGGAAAATGAGGTATCATGAATGAGGCCCTTATTAAACAATAATAAGTATACAAAATAACAACCAAACAAGAGGAATTGTGTGCAACTGGAAGGATTTATGCTTTCCAGGCCAATGAAGGGGAACTGAAGACAGGCTACTTGTCCATTGTCATGGATCCAGATGAACTGCCCTTGGATGAGCGCTGTGAACGCCTGCCTTATGATGCCAGCAAATGGGAATTCCCCAGGGACCGGCTGAAACTAGGTGAGCTGTCAACTGCCGTTAACACGATCGTGGTTTAACCAGCCTAACTGACCCTCCTTGAAGACAATGACAGGGAGAGTCTATTCAGAGGACGCATTCTGATTTATAAAGAGTAATTCTACCTCTTGACTTTGGTAATCATCCATTCTGCCTTTTAGTAGTAAGAGGCCTGCACCACCATCCAAAGCAGGGTGATCCGGAGAGTAAAAGGAAAAGCCAGAACAAGGGAGTAAAGTGGGCTGTGGGTCCAAGTGGGGGTACATCATCACCTTAAACCAACTGGAATCTTAACATATCCCTCTGACAGCGTGACAAAGTCCATTTTGTAATTGCCACTATCATTGGTTCTAGGGAAGCCTCTTGGCCGCGGTGCCTTTGGCCAAGTGATTGAGGCAGATGCCTTTGGAATTGACAAGACAGCAACTTGCAAAACAGTGGCCGTCAAGATGTTGAAAGGTAAGAAGCAAAATGACATTGTGATGTGTCTCTCTCTATCTTGTCCATCATTACCCATGATATGCAGTGGCTCTCTGCCTAGGTGGGCCACAAAGCCCCCGGCCCCTGGCTTATATTGCCTTAGCACAAATAGGAAACAGTTTTCTCCTTTGGAGCCTTATGCAAGAGCTCATGACCTTAGAGCAAGGATTAACTTGCACAATTCGATTTAGTGGTCCTGGTTATATGGGGCAAAACTATCTGGTTCTATTATAATTGTTCCTCAGTGTATTAATATGTGAGATGATTATAAACATTTTAGAAATGAGGGAAGACGGTCACTATCAGTAAAAATAGCAGAATGCAAAACCATCATGTTCTCAAGAATTGGAATGTGCCAGAGAAGTTCATTTATGGAGATACTTTGCAAAGTAAAAGTGGCTGTGCAAACAGAAAAAGATGTGGGTGTTGTTTTAGAACTAAGCGTCTTCTCATCATAAGAGAACTATAGCCTTGACAGTCTGATAAGGCAAGGCAGTGTAGATAAATCCTCTGCTCCACTTGTGACTGCTTCCATGGGGAGATGCTGCTGCTCACCCTTCCCAGTAGGCCTTGCGCCTTTCAAAGCTCCCTTCCTCCATTTGCATTTTCAATCTAGAGTCTAACGGTGTGGTGTGTGTGTGTGTGTGTGTGTGTGTGTGTGTGTGTGTGTGTGTGTTATAAAGATGGCCCTGAGGTGGGAACCATGTCTGTGAGTGAGAAGGAAGTGTAAGTCTTAGCCCCGTCAGGCTCATGGGCAAATAGCCTTGCTTATCTGCTGATCCTTGTTAAATTACTTATTTGGTACATGCCAATTGTAATATCAATACAAACCCGAGAAAATTTATCACATTCGTTTATGTCTGTGTGTGTGTGTGTGTGTGTGTGTGTGTTAGTCAGAGGACAACTTGCAAGAGTTAGTTCTTTCTTCTCCCGTGTAGGTACCAGGGTTTGAACTTAGTTTTTAGGCTTGGTGGCAAGCGCCTTTACCTACCAGCCTACTCACTGGTCCCCAGATCTAAGATTACTTAATGCACAGGATTGCTTCTGTATGGGGAGGCATTGAAATGACCCGGTTCTAAGCAGCCTACTCAACCTGAAATAGAAAAATCCAGTTTTGTATAGAGAGACTGGATGTGAATCCATTGTTCACAGTGCTACAGGAGACTTCCCTTTAGATTCCTTTCAACACCAGTCACTTAAGATTTCCTTAAAGTGAAGCCTTGATTTCTAATTAAAAAACAAAATCGCCCTTGACTTTTCAGAGCACACTGTTGCTCTGTTACTTAGCTGCTGCGGTGAGAGTTGCACAGTTAAATGCGTCCATCTGGTAATGGCTACACTTAATGGTTTTTGCCTTTACCCTGAATCTGTAGAAGGAGCCACACACAGCGAGCACCGAGCCCTCATGTCTGAACTCAAGATCCTCATCCACATTGGCCACCATCTCAACGTGGTCAACCTTCTAGGTGCCTGCACCAAGCCAGGTGGTGAGTAAATGCCGTGGTTCTGCTTGCCTGGGTTTGGCTGGCAGCTCTCCGTTAGTGTCTGATGCAAGGCTTTGCAGATTCCTGAATGTACTGAATCTCATGGAAATTTAGTAGGCTCTCTAATCATCATCAGTGCTGTAGCATCCTTTAAATTCAAGAATGCTCTCATCTCAGAGGTTTGCTACTTGTATAGTAAGTGTTAGATTGGAAAAATAAGTATCCCCCCAAACCTTGAAAGGAAAGAACACAGGGTTAGCTGATTGCTGATGTTTTGATTACACTTGTAGAATTGTCTTTTTTTTTTTTTTAAGAAAAGGTTGCGCTAGGAGGAGGTTGGAATCAGATGATTTGTACAGCCCTGTTCTAATGAAAGGTTATATGAAGCCTCCTTCTAGCACAGTTTTTGGGCTTATGAGTATGCTAGGCATGTAGTGAGAAATGTTCCTGAAGTACATTTTCCCTGCTCAACACACTTTGTTATTTGCAGGGCCTCTCATGGTGATTGTAGAATTCTGCAAATTTGGAAACCTATCAACTTACTTACGGGGCAAGAGAAATGAATTTGTTCCCTATAAGGTACGCCATCTTCCATCTGAGCATTGGTCATAATGTAAAGCGGAGAAAAACCCAAAGTGGTATGCATGTGTCTTTTAGTTAAAAATTCTTTGCATATTTCCTTGGTTGTTTTAACTTCTCCTTTTACCTTCTGGGGATTGTATGATGGCATTCTATTTATTAGGACCTCTAATATGCTATTTTTATGACTTCAGTCTCTTGACTCATTATGGTGGAGCTAGATCTGATTAAGGAAAGGGGAAGGCTGAGAGTACACTGGCTCTGGATAAGTGTGTCTCCTCAGCCATATTTGGGTATTTGGCTCTGTGGAAGGGTACTTCCCTTTGTAAAGAGGACGCTAATGGCAGTGTGTCAGAGAACTCCTGGTGCTTACCACCTAATGCTGAAGGAAGCAGACATAGCTTGGCATTGTAGAAGGAACTCTGCTAAAAGCTGCCCCTACCTCCACCCATTTCAACTCAGAGACAGTAGAATCCTACAGACCCCCTTTTGTGTCCGAGGAATTTGCACTCTTCTTCTTTTCCAGAGCAAAGGGGCACGATTCCGCCAGGGGAAGGACTATGTTGGCGAACTCTCTGTGGATCTGAAACGCCGCCTGGATAGCATCACCAGCAGCCAGAGCTCCGCCAGCTCGGGATTTGTTGAGGAGAAATCCCTCAGTGATGTAGAGGAAGAAGAAGGTACCTTCTTCACTGCCCATGCCTAACACACTCTCTTGTAGGAAGATGATGATAAAATAGTCAGTCATGGGGGAAGACTTCATGTTTGAAAGAAATCTGAGTTCCTAGGTAGTGCTCAGACAAGCTTAACTAAAGTATGAAATCCCTAAATAGACAGTAAACTCTGCTGGGAGGCAAAGCAGGCTTCTCTGGAGAAGCCTAGGTAACTTGGTGGGCTGAGCTGTTAGCAATCAATTCAATACTCTGCTTTAATACTGGATCACAATGTGGAGGGTTATGTTCTGGAAGGGGAAGGGAGCTTTCTGATGCTTAGCCTGCCTTCTTTGCCATAAGTGGTTCAGACTGAGTAGGTGTGTGCTTCAGCAGCACACAGAGGCGCCTTTGGTTTCCTCTACCTAACCTTCTTCTCCAGGATGGGTTAGGACACATCTGTTATCTCCACTCCATCCCAGCGAGCTTCTTACACCTCCCTTCCAACCATGCTTTCCACGTGTCTCATGTGGTTGGGATCCCAATGATATTTTAGTGTTATTGATGGAGCTGGACTGTAGCCTCACCTCCAATACCTTAGTCAGGTCCAGGACACACTCACTCTGTATCTCCTTTACTCAGAAGGAGCAGGCACATCTGTGTAGGCAAAGAGATGGGAATGCCTTGTGCCCCATGCTCTTGGGAGTGTGAGTTTAGACAAACCCACCCCCACTTTTGTTTCCTGCCTAAGCCTCCCGATAGAACTTTATCTCACTTCCTTCTTTCAAAAGCTTTGTAGGCAGCTGGTGGCTAGGGCTTAGGACAGAGGGACATGGGAAGGTTGTCCAGGCCTTATGTTCTGAGGTCTACAATCAAAGGCATCATGTACCCTCTTGCTCACAAAGGGTAGCCAGTGAGCTGGGAACCCAAGGAATTGTGGAGGGGGGATGAGATATAAATGGCTTGGGATTGCAGGCCTGGACTTTGCCTCCATTTCTTTATCTGGGAAATGAGGGCTTCACTGTTCCCTGAGAACCCTCTAGCCCTCGCACAAGAATTTATTAAGGAAGAAGTCTTAGCCTTTAAAAAATACTAGGAAGGCTATTGTGACAATTGAATTTGTGTTTCCTCTGGTCTTGTGTCCAGGAAGGAGACAGTAAGCCTTATCTCATCTGACCTAAGTTGGGAGATCATTTTGAAATAGTAAGCAGTACCTCGGTGTTTATTTGTATTAGTTGCACTGTAATAAATACTACCAACTTATGTAAATTCATCTTTCATGTCTGTTGTCACTCACTCCTGTTCTTGGAGGAAAGCCTTCTTAACAAGATAGCTATAATGTGCTTGCCTCCTGTTTTAAGTTTGAAAGTGAGAGAAATAAATCTCTTTCTGGTATTTTTAGTTTTCTGTTGTACACTGTAGTTTGAACTTTGGTCTTTGTCCCAGGACAAAGCCCGGAGAGAAAAGATTTGATGACCCTGAATATTGTTGTTATTTTTAGAATTCTTAATGCGAGCTATTGTTTTTTCCTCTGGGTTCATGGGAAACAACAGCTTGAGAGAGCAGACTTAAAAAAAAAATCCTTCTTCTCTCCCTGCTGTCTGCATTGATTTTACCTCTACTCTCCCTTCTGGGTTTCGGGTCACCATTTGACTAAAATGGAGAAAATGTTACTTTCCCTAAGGAGTACAGTGAAGGTTAATAATTTGGGGTTTGGCAAATGGGCAGGTACTCTGCTTCTGTCTCCTGAAATTGACCCTCAGTTCTTAAATAGATCAGTTTAATTGGCTTAGAAGAGAGCTCCTGACTGGTGGGAATACTCATCGGTGTCCCCCTGCCTCTTCTTACAGCTTCTGAAGACTTGTACAAGGACTTTCTGACCTTGGAGCATCTCATCTGTTACAGCTTCCAAGTGGCTAAGGGCATGGAGTTCTTGGCATCCCGGAAGGTATGACAGGTCAGGGGGAAGGAAGCCTTCACTTCACATCACAGGCTTAGAAATGAGATATCCGCTTGTTTGGTTTGGAAAGTCACACACCACTTTTATGATTCTTAAAAGTGTTTCCCCCAGGGGTGGGGAGAGGCTCTATTTCTGCTGATAAAAAATTAATTCATCGAACTAATACTCATTGACTAAGTGCTGGGCAGAGTTCTAAATAACAACCATGGGGAACCAACCAAGACAGCTCTGCAGTTTCCTGGTGTATACCTCGCTGGTGGCTGCTGGAGCAACTAATATGCAAACAAGATATCTGGAAAGCTAAATGGGAATGGATGTTGTGGGATAAAGTACAGCAGGAAGGGCTTGCAGAATACACGAAAATCGTGTGTGTGTGTGTGTGTGTGTGTGTGCACATATGCCCATCACATGTGTGTTCTTCAGTGCTAAACAAGGTAAACGAGGAAGTCTTTGCGCCACCTGAGTGATCACCTAGGAGAGGCAAGGGATGGAGCCTTATAGATGTCTTGGTGTAGCGGAGTCTATTTTTAATTTATTTTACATTCCTCGCCATCCATCAAAAAGTTATTTGTTATTTGTGTAATTAGAAGGCAGGAAGGCCCGGCTTCAGATGAGGGCGATTAAAACAGCTAAAATTAGAAACTAGGCCAAACAAAGGCTGAGGTGGGACGTGACAAGTGACAAATATCCCAAAGGTTGTACACCCTGCTGAGGTGGGAGGGAGGTCGGTGGAAGTCACTGGCGACCTTGGGGAGGGGAAGATGTGCAGTAGGAAAGGTTCACGTTATATTTAGGAAAAGGTCTCTGTTGATAACGTGTATTTGCGGCAGGTTCCTGAGGGAAATCTGCTTTAACATTTCTTTTGTTTTCTTTATCATTGTAAAGTCCCATACCCCTCCTCCCCTCGCACGCACACACACTGAAGTTGAGAGTTTCTCACAGCTTCCAGAACCTCTGAATCTTAGACAGATCTGCCAAATATTTCTTAAACTCCATTTCCCAAGGAGAAGGGAGAGAACCAGGGTTCTCCAGGATCTTCCCAAAGAGAAGGGCCTTGAGTCCTTTTTCAAAGATTGTTATTTTTTTAAATACTAGAGCTCAATCTTGAGCCAAGCAGTTCCTCTTGGCAACGAGAAGGGGGGATTGATAGTTAGGGACTGGAGACCAGGGAGCCAGAGTCCTTCTTTTCCCTGGTGACCACCAGGTGATTTTGAATAGCTCTTTGGTTGAGTACTATCTGCTTTGTGGCCTTTCCTGCTTTACTGACTCACACTAGACAATGCTATCCTAAATATTCTGGTGCAAGGGATAGTGCTATACAGACTTGGGGTGCTGGGTAAGGTAGAGGCAATGATTATCACCCCTGTGCTGACCTGAGATTCTCATGCAAGCCTTTCCCTCGTGTCCAAGGTTCTTTGAGGCTTATATGCTCTCACAGACGGCACTTAGGCGCTTGGCTGAGGGCTATGACCACAGTGACACAGATGCTTTAGGAGTTGAAAGCCAGGTCAAGAGAGAGGACAGAAAGGAGAGATCACTGGAGGAACCGAAGATCCGGAGGCTTAAAGCCAAGCTCTGGAGCACTTGGCAGTTCACCACGGGGTCTATTCCACTCACACCGGCCAGCCTTGCCTGGGTTCACATTCACTGTCATATCAAACACTGTGCAAGCAGGATGAGTCCCGGGTGCTACCTCCAGATCCAGTCCAGCTTTCGTACCAAACAGAAAAGATAGCCAACAAGCCAACGAGAACCCTTGCTTCTGATTTCTACTCATCCCTCCAAAATCAGTCTATTCTGGGATCTCTTTAGTCTATAACCCAGTTTTAGCCACCCGGGGCACAAGCGAAAGGATGTGCGGATGTGATGAGGGACACATCAGATTCTGTCCATGATCAGACTCTATCTTAGTCACGTAACTCCAAAGGCCAGGACTGTTTATGGACTAAGCAGCTGGACGTCTCAGTGGGACACACAGGCTCTCTTCCTGACACAAAATACCACCCGAGTCCGTGCTAATCAGCTGGTTCTCTGATGAAGGATTTTTTTCAAAAGGATGAAGTCACAAACAGATGTAAAAGAGATTAGCTGTGCGGAGACTTATCACACATACTGTTCTCTTCACAGTGTATCCACAGGGACCTGGCTGCACGAAACATTCTCCTGTCGGAGAAGAACGTGGTTAAGATCTGTGACTTCGGCTTGGCCCGGGATATTTATAAAGACCCAGATTATGTCAGAAAAGGAGATGTAAGTATCTAAAGATCAACTTTGGGGTCTCCTCAGGTGCAGGATTCAGTCTTGGCGGATTTGTGTTTACAAGTGAGCTGAGTGCTTTCTTTAGAAATCTGCCAATTTGGGTTCTGATATGTGGCTGTCCCCCACTCAGGCACGACTGCCTTTGAAATGGATGGCCCCGGAAACAATTTTTGACCGAGTATACACAATTCAGAGCGATGTGTGGTCTTTCGGTGTTTTGCTCTGGGAAATATTTTCCTTGGGTAAGTCATTTTCTTTGACTCTCTCCTGGGGGCGGGGGGGTTGGGGCAAATAAGATAATAATTGATGAGCCTCGTATATCCTTTCTTCTCTATACTTTACCTCCTGCCAGGTTAGAATTTCTTGGAAGGTTTAGATGGTAAAATTGAAAGGATGAGGGGAACAAAAGCTACGTAGGTGATAAGGATGCATAAGAATCAGGTTTAAGGGCTTTTTGTGAGAAAGTCAAATCACACAGTGCTCCTTCCCTGTCTTATTTTAGGTGCTTCCCCATATCCAGGGGTCAAGATTGATGAAGAATTTTGTAGGAGGTTGAAAGAAGGAACTAGAATGAGGGCTCCTGACTACACCACCCCAGAAATGTAAGACCCTGGGAAGCCTCCTTCTTCCTTTTCTCACAGATTCTTCCCACGAAGAAGGCAACGAGGCCCTCCATTGTGTGCATCTATGTCATGGCCTACTTTGTGTCCAGCTCTTTCTTTGAGGCTCAAAGCGCTGTCATCGAATTACGTGTTACTTACACCAGAGAGTTTTATTAAAGGTTGATAGAGGTGTGATAAAGAAGACCTTTTGACAGATTGTCGCAGTTCTGAGTGTGTCTGTATCGCCTATAGTTTTACATCTCTCCTTAGCATCTCAGCTCTTGGCAGGCTCATTGCTTCTCGCTCGAGTTCTTACTTGTGGCCCTTATCTCTTGGAGGAATGGCACAGTTAATGAAGCCAGTGTCTTGCTTGTCTAGGTACCAGACCATGCTGGACTGTTGGCATGAGGACCCCAATCAGAGACCCTCGTTCTCAGAGTTGGTGGAACATTTGGGAAATCTCCTGCAAGCAAATGCTCAGCAGGTTTGTAACCCTCCACGTGAGAAGCTTCTACAAAGAACCCTCAGGTCGAGGGTCTGGGTTCTAACACTCTGCTGCCTGGACACCGACAGAGCACCATGCTTGGCCACTGAAAAAGGAGCCTCTGTCCTCCGGTTCTGAGCGACAATGCTTCCTAAAAGCTGCAATTGCTCTTAAGACTGATGAGATCCTAATTCATGCCTTGAGAATAGAAGACTCCAATCCATTCAGAAGTTACAGGAGCCTGATCTCTCCTTCTGCCATGTGGGGCCAGGAGATCCAAGTCATCAGGCTTGGTTAAAGATGCCTTTACTCACTGAGTCATCTCGCTGGTCCCCACCTACTTATTTCTGTGTTGTGTCTTCAAATGTTCTTCTGAAGTTAAAAATATCTGTTGACTGTGATGGTGCATGTCTGTAATCCCAGCATTCTTAAAGCTGAGACAAGAGAATCCTGAGCTTGAGGGCAACTTGGGCAACACAGAGAGAACACCCCCAAAAACAAACCAACAAGCAAAACAAAACAAAAAACCACCCCAAAAAACAAACCAACAAGCAAAACAAAACAAAAAACCAAATCTGGTTGATTTATAGATGATCAGAAATGGAAAGAATTTCAAGTAATTTTTAGTAGATTTTTCAGGCGAAGCCAAAACAAACCAAACATGAAAATTATGCAAAACCATGACTTTGGCCCCTCTTGGTGAAATGTATCAATCCAAGGACAGCTCCACAACAGAGCTCTGCCCTCTTTTTGTTAAAGACTTCGTCCCTGCTTTGTGTCCCTTACTGTAGTGGGAGCCAGTTGCTTTCTTTTTCCTTCTGAACACTTGAGGGTCAAAACCATTTTCATCAACAAGCCTTCCAAACATTTAAGTGTATCAGATCATCATGTTTTTCGTTTTTCTTTTTTTTTTTCCTCTTGAGAAATAACATCACACTGCATCACCCTTTCCCAGAATTCTTATAATCCTGCTGTTTACTGCTTTTCTCTTCGCCGCCTTCTGCTTTTCCATTGCCTCGGAATGCAGAGGCGCTGGTGGAGGAAGGATGCTTTGAAGGCCTGGCTCCCGTGGAGGTCTTTATGGAGAAATGATTTCTGGGCTTTGTGTTCTCACATCTCACCCATAGCCATTGCCTGCTTTGTCTTCATGGCAACCATGGCCTCTTGTCCCTTTACTAATCCTGTTTTCACTTGGTCCCTTTATTAACCTTCTTCCACACATCCCTTTCAAGTGCCCTTTTGTTTCTAGCCACCCTTTTCCAAGACAGTCCTGAAGTCTTGTGTTCAGACACGAAAGTAGCACGCTCACACCAAGATGACCCCCTTGCCCCTTGTTTTTCATGAAAAAGCCCTTGAAGGACAGCAGCCGTAACAATAGCATGCTGTGTTTATTGTTTCAGGATGGCAAAGACTACATTGTTCTTCCAATGTCAGAGACACTGAGCATGGAAGAGGATTCTGGACTCTCCCTGCCTACCTCACCTGTTTCCTGTATGGAGGAAGAGGAAGCATGCGACCCCAAATTCCATTATGACAACACAGCAGGAATCAGGTACTGGATGTGGCCAGCATTCCCCCTTAGTGGGGCTTCAAGGCCATGGCAGAGGTGGGGGTGGGGAGGAAGAGGCTTTGTTAGGCTGTCACATATTACTCTAGCTAACCGACATTCACAAAGGCAGTGCTCCCCAAAAGGTCTGGAGAGCTGAGCCACCTCGTGTCTGTGGCCCATGCTGCTGGCACAGTCCTGCCTTTAAGAATTCTAAGCCTGTGGGAGCAAATAACTAACATGCCACAGTTCATTAATCTCCAGGAAAAAATGAAAAGAGAGAGAAAGGGCCATGTTACTGAGACATCTGTATTAAAATGGTCCCCGTGTACACTTTTATTAAGACAAATTAAATGGCTTAGGAAAGACTCAGGAAGGAGGAGCTGTGTGCAAATATGAAACATACTGAGGGCTGCTTGGTGTGGGCCCAGTATGCCACAGGCTGTGTCCCGCATGGAGTTGCACACTTCATCTCAGACATTTCTCCCCAGTCTGAGTGTCAGCATGGCATTTACCTAATGGGATGCTTGAGTTTATTAGAACAAATGCCATGCAGTCCAGTCCTGGTCTGCAGTGGGCTCTGCAGGCAGCTTTCTATGGTTCTCAGTTTAATACCTATACATGTGGGGTTTCCCAAAACGCGATCTTGGCTTTGCCTTTCCTAGGCACACGGCAATGCCGTTTTGCTTTGGGTATTGTCCTGCAACCAGATGCCCTGGCAGCATGTGCCCAAGCTGCAGGAGGAAAGTGGGGGGGGGAGGTGTTGGCCCCGTTGCTATGCTGCAAAGCCTAGAGATGTTTTGCCCTGAGGGTTCCTGAATAGCAGGAATCCTGAACTACAGAAAGTGCGGGAGAGAGAGAGAGAGAGGAGGAGGAAAAGAGAAAGGAGAAAGGAGGGAGAGACTGAGAGACTTAGATGTCAACCAGCAAACTACCATTCCTTTATAACAAGAGCAGTCAATGCTTTCTGAAGAATTTTCGTGCGTATTATCAGATTCTTGTCTACATGAGAACTTTGGAAAGATGGAAACTCTCATCTGGGTTGGATGCTGAACATAGGTGTTAGCTTAAGCACCTGGGCAGTGCAAACTATTGTGATTAAAGATATAGACGTGAGAGCTTGGTAAAACCAGGTATGAAGCCTGGTCTGCCTTTTAGCAGGTAGGTAACAAAGTCCCAAATTGTTTACCACCACTCCCCCCTCAACACACAGACACACACACACACACACACACACACACACACACACACACACACACA